GCGTTATTCTAAATTGAGTTGTGTAAAAATAAAATTTTTGAAAATTTGTCGATTTCCCCCTTTTCTGTAGCACCAAGCCCATATGATGAAAATTGAAACAAGAGATTAATTAATACATATGTTGAAGTTTAAGTGCAGAATTTCACGAACGCACATCACTAAAATGCCATAGTAAACCATATACAATCAGACCTCCCTAAATGCATGTCGCCGGGACCAGCTCTTGAGCGTGCATTTAGGGAGGTTGTAATTAGAGAACACTAATAAAATCACAATATAACTATTATTACATGATAAGCATGACTTTAGTAGCTTAAAAATAATGGATTTTATTGGCCGGTAATCACGTGGTTGCATTTATGAGAGTGTTTTTATAAGTGGGCCAGACAATTAGCGTGCATTTACAGAATAAAGAACTTGCATTTATATATAAATCCAACCATGGGCCCGGACTTAAATCATAAATTTAGGGAGGTGCTGCATTTAGGGAAGGTGCATTTAGGAGTTTGACTGTACTTTGTAATATTACATATCACTTCGTTCCTGGTACAAAATAAACTGAAGTTTATTAGCGTTAGGGTTAAGGTCAGGATTAGGTTAGGGTTGGGTATATAGTATATAGTAAAATTTTACAAAGAGAATTTTTACTAGAATGTGAAGGGTGGTTTCATATGCAAAAATTTGAGTTATCGCAATTTTTTAGAGATTTCTTCTCAAATGTACACATGATCCTTGACGGTGATGATTACTCTTGATCATCAAAGTATTGAAGATCACATGGAGATCTTCAAATTTTATATTTTTTTGCAAATTTCTTGTTAACAAATAAAAATTTTCCAAATTCCTCTTCTATATTTGCTTTTTCAATGCTTTATCAAGTAATATACAAGAACTGGTTGTTTCTGCAGCTAAATAATAAGAAAATTTTCAAGCCTTTTCTTGTATTATATTTCTTAAAGAATGAAAATATCTTGACAACCAATAAATCAAATTTGATACATTTTTCTATAAACCAGAAAATTTCAAATAAAGAAAAGCTTATTAAATTTGGCTTGGCTGTTGAGATAATTTCTTTAACTCCAAAAAACTTAAAAAAGATATCTCAACAACCACAAGTCAAATTAAATGAATTTTTTTTTGAATTCTATGAATCTGTAGGATTCAAATAAAAAAAAAAACATTTATCAAATTTGGCTTGATGGTTGTCAAGATATTGGGAAGATTAAAGAACATTGAACTCAGTAATCATTACTGTGTTACATAACTCGGCCTAGTTTAGGGTTAGAGTAGGGGTTAATTTAAGCCAGTTTGTTTAGTTCTGGTAAATAAATGACATCATTATATGTTTGTCATGTGATCGCTAATCACTAGGTTCAGTGTTCTTTAAGTGTCTTCACCCAAAGTTTTAAAAAATCCAATGTCTATTAGAAGCGATAAATTTTCTCACTTTGAATAAAGATATCTTGTCAAATCTATAGAATTCGAATTCAAAATTTCTCATAATAATTTGAGTGAAGAAATCTCATAAAATACTAAATCAAATTTAATAAATTTTTTTATTTAAATTATATGTCTTCCTAAAATTCAAATAATTAAAAAAACTCTTCAAATTCGGCTCTTGTTTTAAAAAACTCAAGTCTATCAAATAGAAAATTTTCTCAAACTTTAGCAAAATATATCTCAACAACTATCAATTTAATTTTGATGAATATTTTTGTTCGAAGGACACTACTGGGTAGGTCAATAGTACACCCAATGTCTGTGTGTTAACAAATTCTGAAACCTGATTGGCTAGATCAGGTGTAATGTAAAAGATTTAAAAAAAACAACCCAAACTAACGTTTATTGGCTAGATTAGGCGTAATATAAAAAATGTTTATTATTATAGTCAAAATTAAATTTAAAATTTATATTTGGTTCTTCGGACTTTGAATGGTTTCCATTTATCTAGTTTTTATTTGAATTCTACAGATAAAGAATACAAATAAAAAGGAAAAGTTTATCAAAATTGAGTTGATTCTTGTCAAGATAAATTTGCTCAAAATTTGAGAAAAACTCCATTGAATTTTTTTACCTTTGAGCGAAAGTTTCTTGACAACCACAATGCCAAATTTAATGAACTTTTTTTTATTTGAAATCCAAAAGTTAGTAGAATTCAAATATAAAAAAAAAACTTGCCTGGTGGTTGTGAGATATCTTTGCTCAAAGTTTAAAAAAGTTTGGGGTATGAATATTAAATTGCTGATTTCTGGATTTTCATTACGAAATTCGATAATCACAGTAGGATCTTAATTATCATGATTCTGATTGGCTTGTCAATGAAGTGATGGAGCCAGCATTATTGTGAGATTAATTATTTGGTCACATGAACAAGGCATGCAAACATGTGCAAAAGAAACTATTTGTATATGTAATAATTGAATAATTCAGTTATTTTGCATAATAAATGTAGTAAGAAATTTGTGTGCTATGCTATAAGTAAATGTGTTGTATGAATAATGAAGAGTGTCATAATTAAGAGTTTATAAGCATTCGAATTGAATCAATGAAGTCTCTATCTTTTGGTTTCACTATTGCCTGCCTTGCATTATTAGGCTGGCTCTGTCGAATATATAGCATACTAAAAACAAAAAAAAAACAAATTAAATAAATAAAATAAACAAACCAAACCATGTCAGCATCTAATAGTGTTTCTGATAATAAATCGTCATCAATCACTTGGACTAAGTTGTTCTTAGACAAATTATGGGACCTGTGTTTGTGGTTTAGCTACAAATAGAAATAAGAAGGAATTAAGTGCCAATTTAAAGGCCTATTTTGAAAAAGAAAAGAAAAGTTACCTGCAATGTTATTTAAAGCAGTATATAAAATTTCACCTCAAAAACATGTGCACAATGAGCACATAGTATGCTTAATTTATGTAAATAATTTTAAAAATTAGTGCACTATAAATTTTATAATACTATAAACATTTTATATAAATATCTATTTAACTTATATATATAAAAGTAGATCATGTACACAATGTGCTCTATGTAGAGGTGTGGTGACTTAGTGTAGTGGTCTAGTCATTACCCTCTCCAAGCGGCTGGTCTAGAGTTCAAATCTCACTGGTAACAATTTTGAAAAATAGGCCTGTATATGGTTGATGGTATTCTATCAGTTGAATCTAGATTAATTTGTAACCTTGGTTACACCATCTTGTAATGGAAGCTTCAGCGAAATAAATCCAGAGAACCGGAATAACCGAAAACCCGTTTGGCAAGTCCCGAGTTTGGAGATAGTAGTGATCTATGATAGTACCGCAGGAGAGCTGAATTTGAACCAGAACCCAAGATCAGAGAACTGAGTGACCAGGTCCTAATGGTGGAGAATATACTAGCTGAACTGCTGGGTTGTTGCACCGGAGGAAAAGGACATATGCTCTGAAAGTATGGACCAAGGAGAGGGTGTCCTTTAGGCACCTAAAGCCTGGGCAGACCAACCCTTCTGTGTTGCTTATAAAGAATTCAGATAAGAAGACAGTCTAAATGCGGGGTACTGGGGTTGCTAGAAACCAAAACAAAGGCAAGGAGTATGTAATGGGTGCCTGATTAGGAAGGTTGGTGCTTGAGAAATATCCATAGAATGGCAGTACCCCAAAAGGTGACATGAGATATGAATACGAAATGGCAGGTCAATATGTACTAATTAGAAAGAAGTTATAGAAACAAGCACGTGAATACATGTGTGGAACATGTACCACTGTGTTAGGTTTACCTTGAGAATAGACTAGGCCTATATGGGTTAGTAAGTCCTAATGCAGGATGCGAAAGCAAATGTGGGGTAATACTAATATCTACTTAGTTTAGTAAGGAAACCCTCTGAGTTAGAGGATTGATGGAGGTAGTTAGAACCAGATGGTTTAAATGTGTACCCTTTAGTTGGGGTGCAGGTATAGCAAATAGTATAGAACCTTCGGGCGGACTACATAAATTAGGCACTCAAAAGATGCATGTGTGGCTTGATATACCATTATTGTTATTACATATAAAACTCCGTCTTTACTCTAATAAAAAGTTCCCCAGGCCAATGAAAGTCATCTTAATACTAAAAAAAAAAAAAAACAATGTGCTTCATGTATGTATAGTTAAGATTTTATTAATAAATTTGGCGCACTATATGGCTAGAAATCTTGTGAATTTTGTGTATATTTCTAGCTAAAAACATGTGAAAACTTTTAAAAATATGTGCTCATGAGCACATTGTGCAAATAGATATTATACACTGATTTAGAGATAAAGTTGGTGTAGATAATCCTGATAACAATGTGAATCCAAATAATCAGTAGAGTAAAAATGGAGAAGGAGAAAACCTAAGAAATGCAGGTGTTAGCAATGTAATTGAGAACGATAATTTTTTCATTTTAGACCCACAGTGTGATTTGGACCATTTTAAGGACAATACTAATACATTGCTCCACAATAATGTTAAATCAAATAATTATTTAAACTTGGGCATTTCTGATTCTTTCTCTTTGCCTTGAGAAAGATAGAGAAGAAAATGAATCAGAATTTTGTTCTTTTACAAGACTAGCGAATTAGAGAAATAGAAGAGGAAAGTTTTTTAGATGAAGCATGGCCTAGGGTAAAATTGAACAAACCCTGTGACTAATATGAATATGACTTTCTTATTAAAATTAGAAAAAAACTTGATAGAGTTATTAAATCATTGTTTGATTTTACCAAAAGTAAGCTTATATCTATGAGAGATGATGTAGAATCCCATGCTATGATGTTATGTTTAGCCAATAATAGGGGATGGGCAACAGTATTGCAAATAGTTAGTTGCAATAATAAAATAATGAAAAAGTATAAAGATCATATTCCAGCTATTTTGGCATTGCCATTTTACAAAGCAGAGAATTGGAATAGTAAAAGGAAAGACAGTTTTTATAAAGATGATAAAAAAGGTTCGAGTAGCAAATATTATTATGCTTCAACATCATCTTCTGAATCTGAGCAAGGAGAAGCATATTGGCAAAACAAGAAAAGAAAGAAATCTTATCTCTTTCATGCAGGGAAAGATAAAAAGCTATCAGGTTATTTAAAAGCATTTACCTGTTATAACTGTGGAGGAATTGGCCACATCTCTACAAATTGTCTTTCCCCAAATGCAAAATCATTTACAAAACCTAAGCAAGAAGATTAACAACACTCAGGCTCTAATAAAAAATATAAAACATGCTCAACAACAAATTCCTTGCATAACAAACTCAGTAGTTGGAAAAATTCACACTTTAGAAGCGATAAATTATTGGAAAAAGAAAATCCAACCAGCACCTATAATATTGGATTGGTTAGAAAAAGGAATACCATTGTAACCAAAGGGCGTTTTACCACTTGCAATAAAATCAGACTCCAAACAATTTTCTCTATCAGCAGACCAAATGAAATGGTCTTTAACTGAGTTAGAGAGATTACAAAGAACAATAGCAATTCGCTATTTAGAAAATTAGCCAGAAAGGCCAGACTTTTTATTAGAAGTCAGTCTAGTATTTCTAGTACCTAAAAAGAGTTACAAGAAATGGCAATTAGTAATCAATTTGAGAAGACTAAACAAAACATTACAAGAAAAGAGTTTTCAATTTGAAGGTTTAGAAGGGTTTCTTCAAACTGTTGGAAGAAATTGGTATGTAATCATATAAGATTTAAAGGAGGGATATCACCATGTGCTAATGACAGACGATGCACAGAGATTTTTGGGCTTCAGATTATGGGAAAATGGTACTATTACAGAGTGCTTCTATTCGGCCTTTTCCAGGCTGTTTGGATTTTTCAAAAATTATGAGACAATTATAGGCCATTGGCATTCATTGGAAATATTTTGTAAAAACCATATGATGATATTTTGGTAGCACACCTATCACAAGAAATTTTAAAAGAAATAAGAGACACAATTATAGATGTGGATTTGAGAAATTGTGGATTTGAGAAATTGTGGTTTTGTAAGAGAGCCCAGCAAAGGCCAGTGGGAACCTACCCAATGACTAAAATTTTATAGCCTAATCATGGATACTATCAAAGCTGAAGTAATTGTATCTGGAGAAAAATTATAAAAACTCGAAAATTGTTAATAGAGTGTGTAAAGAAAAAATGCATATCAGCTTGTCAATTAGCTGCAGTTGCAGGGAAAATCCAGTCATTAAACAGAGCCTTTCCTCAGGCAAAAATGTGATGTTTAGAATTTTATTCAATAATCGATGCAGCCAACAGAAAGTGCTGGGATGCTCAAATAAGACTATCAGATCAAGCAAAAGAAGACATATATTGGATTGCCCAGAATCTAGCCAAAAACAATCAACATAAAAACCTTCAAAGATAAAAGTAGTTTTTGTCGATGCATCAATAATTGGATGGTTAGCAGTTTGTGAGGGCCAAAGGGCATATGGAAATCGGGAAATGAAAAGTCACACAGAGAAATAATAAAATTAGAGTCAGAGATGGTGTTATTAGGGATAAAGTTATTTACAAACATACTTGTCTACTTATAGATAGATCTTTATATAGACAATCGTGGAGCCTTAGCAAAGTAGTAAAGAGAGGCAGTTTACCTTGGCAAAAAAAAATTTTGTGGAGATTATGGCAGCTATTAGACAAATTTGATATTTTGTTGAACAAAACCTTTTGGGTTTCATCTCAAAAAAATATAGCCAATGAGCTAACTTGAGCCATAGACAAAACCGATTGGAAATTAAATCAGATAATATTTGCTTGGTTAGAGGAGATGTGGGGCCCACATATAGTAGATCGTATGGCCAATCATCAGAATGCAAAAGTTTTGCATTTCAACAGCCAGTTTTATTGCTCTGGAACAAAGGCAGTAAACTGTTTTGCACAAAGTTGAAAAGGCGAAAACAATTATGTTTGCCCACCTTTAGGACTAGTTCATCGAGTTTTGTAGCATGTGATAGAGGGAAGTTTAATAGCAACAATAATAGTTCCACAATGGATGTCAGCAGAATGGTGGCCACTATTAATAAAGTGCAAAGCAAAGCAGGTAGAACTACCTCCACCACAAATAACCTTTGAGAAGGGATTCTCAGGAGAAGTAGAGCTGTGAAATAATCTAAAGTGGAAATTTCTAGCAGTAAGAATAAATTAGTTGATTTGTTATTGACCAGAGCCCGGGAATTGATAAAGAAAGCAAGTTCTAGTAATTGGAACAATCGACTAGATAAGGCCTGGGATATTTATTTCAATTTTTGCAATGCAACTAGACAACAATCTTTTCTATCATCTGAGGAAACTATTCTATCTTGTCTTGCATGGCTGGACTTGACAGATACTATATCAAGCTGTTTATATATACTGGCAGCAATTTCAAGAAAACATTTAGCAGGTTTACCAGATTCTACAAAAAACTTCAGAGTAAGGAAAATTTGTAAAGCATTATTTAAACAATTGAGAAAAGACTTTACTCCGAAATGGCTTTGTGATTCACTTCCTATAAAAGCTCTAAGGAAATTTGTTGATTCCAAGCCAATGTTTGCAAATAGTAAGTTGTGGAAATGAGATGCAGCTTTAGTAGCAATTGGCATAAGAACAATGTGTTGTCCTGGAGACTATCAGGTCTAAAGTTAAGAGATGTTAAATTTAGCAATAAGTTGTGCTGGATTAGAGTTTGTAAATCCAAAACAAATCAATTTGCAAATGGGAAATTTATCCCAATTGAGGGAATAGACAGCTCTTATTGTCTGGTTAAGCTCCTAAAAAATTATTTAAATTCCTAAGATAATTTTGTTGGGGATAGCCCATTGTTTCTGGCCAAAACAGGAGGACATATGTCGGTGGAGGCTATTAGTGCAGTAGTAAAAAGAATAGCACAAAATGCAAATTTGGCTGGTCGTTATACTGCACACAGTATCAGAATAGGCGGAGCAACTGCTGCAATGAATGCAGG